TTGCCTTGCTATAATATATAAACACATTCACCTATGTTTTCTCTTAATACATTTTTTTGGCACTGAAATATTTAATAGCCCTGGAGCTTTACTTTTGGAATAAAAGGTGAGGTAGGAATCTGCCTTTGTTTTCTAAATAATGACTTAATTGCCCCCCCCCCAAATATATATATTCCTTTGCCAATTTAAAATGTCACCTTTGTCATAAACTAAATTCTTGTGGATACTGGGATCTGTTTTCAGACATTTTGTTTGTTAAATTGATGAGCTTGTTTATTCTTAAGCTAATAATGTACTTTGAAATTATTGTAACTTTAATTTAGCAACTGATTAGACAAGATTCTCTGCTCCTTCCCATTACACTTCAGAGTTTCGTAGCTCCTTCTGCTATGTTCAGATTTCCAGGTAAACTTTAAATTTACATTATCAAATTTTTAGAGTGCAAGTGGTATTTTTATGGTTTTTGTACTAAGTTTATAGATGACTTCAGGAGTTATTTTTTTCTTAGTAGCCTTAACACCCCTTCAACAAAACTCTGCTCAAAACTCTTACTAATTAGGCTGTCAAGTTGTTTTATACTACATTCTTTCTAACAGTTTTTCAGAAAAACTTTAAGAACTATTGAGATCTTAGTTCAAGATGGAGCAGTTTGAACTCAATGGAAGAAAAGGCCACTTTGTGTCTCCTACAGGGACCTTTATACTTAAAATAATGAGCCTGGAATTTCCTTGAACTGTTTTTATTTTTAGAATGTAGAAAATCAAATTGCTCAGTAGAGTTACTGCTACATTTAGTAATTGTGAGTCCTCCTGGGTGTGCAGGGTTAGGCAACTATAGTTCCTGATGGATAAGCACAATAAAAGCCCATTCCTTTGTGAGCTATGTTAATGCTCAATGGTTGCAAGAATTTAACAATGCAGACAAGGGGGCAATTGTGGAAAAAATAGGGTAGGAAAAACATTTCTGAATAGAGCTGCCTTTGTCATTAATGGATGAATAAAGCAAAAGGACACATCTAAGATTCTAACTCTCACAGTGAAATTTTAACTGTATTTACATAAAATATCTCTATATCCTTGAGGAAAAGGCTGGGCATGGAAGAAAGGAGAGGTCAATAGATCAGCAGGTCATTAGGCAAGTTTTGCTCATTTCACCATTTAACTGAGATCCAGTCCTTGTGCATTGCACCAAATTTAAAGGCGGAATACTCTCTTACAAAGAACATGGTTCGGGTGCAAATCTAAAGTTGTTTACTTTCACCAGAAAGAACTGCTATATGATTGGGACATGCAGATTTTCTACTGAATAATAAAGTGAGCCATCTGACTAGTATTTAGCAGCTGTTGTTGCTGATACAATACAATGGTGATACAGACGATGGAGGATAAAAGCAGAGTAGCAGGAAAACTTAGCGCAGGAAATGAAAACCTGCAGAGATCGCTGGTATTTTTTTGACATTTTGAAATGGCAGGGAAGAGCAGAATTTATTGAAGAGTTATAGAAAAATGAATCCCTAAGGAATGGTTCTGAAAATGAAGGTAAAATTTAAGATATCAGAAAAAAAATACATTGGCCGACTTTGTGATGATGAGAGCTGGAAAGGTTTTGTTTGACCAATTTGATTTAAATGATCAATATGAATTTTTTTTTTAATTTTGGCAAAGGCCAAAACCTTAAATGCCAGTCTGAGAAGTATAAAATTAAAGAAACGTTTACATATGATGACCACATCACAAAACAGAATGAAAATCGGAAGCAAGCAGCAAAAAAGAGTAACTAATGTCAACTCTGAAAAAAGTGACATTGAATCTTTGCAATCTGCAATCAGGTAAAGCAAAGGAGGAATTAAATAAGAAAAACCATTTGTGTGTAATAAATCCCTTGGAAGTTCAATGGTATTACAAATATCTTAAAGCTGAATACATCTTGTAACCTCGTCACAGAAATGAAGCAGTTGTTTTATTCCTACTTTGTTGGTTAAGAAATTAGTTTCTATTTAATAAAGGAAAACTAGGGAAAGGGAGACTTTTCTTTCTTTCCTTAAAATCATTCCAGTTAAGCCAATCAGTAAGTAGAACTTAAAAAGAAAAAAAAAAATCCTTCCAAAGCGATGAGGTTGACTGCGCCTTATCACTACAACCCCACTCACTGCAGTTGTTACTCCCTATGTCCAACTACTCAGGCTTACCAGAGATAAACACTGAAAGCACCTTTCAATTTTTATAAGCATGTTAACTTGCAAATCAAAGCTCCTGCTTCAAATGATGTTAGTGGTGTTTGTGACACATCTTGTTTGTGTAGCAAATTGGTTTTGGCAAGGGAATTGCCTTGCCTTAAGAAGCCAATCTAAGAAATGATCTTTGTATTTTCACTGGCTGAAAGGATCCAGTATCCAACTAAATAGTGAGTCAGCGCTGGAGAATTCTTTACAGGTCCTAAGTGAAGACAAATCTTATCACACTGGAAACTACTTTTGTAAGCCTTTGAATCTCAGAGGGCAGCAGATTAGATAAACTCAGTTGTTGCCAGAATAATATATAATAGAAATTAGAGCAGTCAGGATGGAGATGACTTAGAGAGAGTCTCAAAATAACTAGGTTAAGAAATACCTTATGGAGTTTATTTCCCATAAAAAAAAGTCAAAAACAAAAAATGTATGGGATAAGGTTGAAAGAAAAATCTTGAAAGTTTGATATAAATTTAAGTAAGCAAAAAATTAGAAAACATGAAGGACTTGAATTATCAACCTTACCGTGTTACAACTTTCAGCAATTCCAATAAAACATTAAAATTTTAGGTGGTTAAAGAAATGCTTTTATGAGACAAATATTATCCACATTATGAAAACAAATTACAAATTATATCCTTATCATTGAACTTTGCCTATACCAAAGAGTATAAACAATACAACACAAATTCAAGATAAACCTACAAACATTTTAATTTGCTTTTCAAAAGTTGTATGAGAAGAAAGTTTCAAAGGCTCCTACACAGTATATATTCCACTACTTAAATGTTTAGCAGCTTTAAAAAGGAATCTTTTAAACAAATCTACTTTGCAAGTAAGTCGAGAATTTATCAGTTTATCACATTTTCATGCCAGCTGTCCCTATAACATTTATTTTACCTTATTTAAATTATATATATATGTGTGTGTGTGTGTATTTGACATCATTGTTCATTTTTGTACAATGTATGCGTATAGGCTTTCTCCTTTTATGTGTATTCCCACCACCAAGTCACCCATGAACCATCACCATAGTCCCTTGTGCGCTTCGCTCCTATTTTGGTCCCTCTTCTTCCCCCTCTCTTGCAGAATGTCTCTGATTTATGGTTGTCTGATATATTTTTTTTAATTTTATTATTATTGTTATATATATTTTCCCTGATTTTAAGTGATGTTGAACATTTTTTCATATACCTGTTGGCCATTTGCATTTCCTCTTTGGAGAAGTGTCTTTTTAGTTCTGCCCACTTTTTGACTGTTTGTTTTTATTGAGACACGTGAGCTCTTTGTAGATCTTTGTGATTGGTCCCTTATCAGTTGTATGGAGTGCAAAAGTTTCCACCCAATCAGTGTGGTGTCTCTTTGTTTTGATTAGTGTCTCTTCCTGTACAGAAACTTTTTTAGTTTGATGTAATCCCAGCTGTTTATCTTTTACTTCACTTTCTTTGTTTTGGGGAATGTGTCTTTAAAGATGTTACTGAGATGTATGCCATGTAGTGTTTTGCCTATATTTTCTTCTATATATTTCATGGTTTCAAGTCTCATGTCCAATTCTTTAATCCATTTTGAGTTGGTTTTTTGTGCATGCTGTGAGGTAGCAATGTAGCTTCATTCTTTTGCCTATTACATTTATTTTAAACAGCTTTCTTGCTAGGCTAAAAAATGTTATGCCTACAATTTGTGCCTACAAATTAACTTTTAAAAACCAAATTATATGGTTGAAACATTATGATTAGCTATTTGGAAGTTCAACATTAAACAATTTATTTTACCATGAGAAAGTTAAAAAAAAAAAAAGTAATGAGATAGAGCCATATACTATACTACTATAGGCCTTACATTTTTAAGTATATGATATTTTATATCAGCCCAGAGAACAATATCATGTTTGTTTCAGTCCTATGGGTAGGGAGGGAGCTATAGTGAGACATCATCTTTCAAAACTTGTAGATAATACTGCCTTTTTAAGATTGATATGAAATCAGCCCATAATAGAATTCTTCTTGGTCCTAGAAAATTCCCAATAAAATTATTTATGAATTGGAAAAACCAGACAGTACTAACATATTTAAAGGTGATGCTCTGACTTACCTAAAGGAAAAAATTTGAAAAGTCCAATCAAGAAGACATTTGATGGCGTAAAGAGAAACCAGTATTTCTAATGGTGGAGGATCTTGACCAATGAGTCCATCTTCCTTGTAGCAGTTTTCTAAACATGAATGAAAAGTAAGTTATTTACACAAAGGAGGTTGGAGTAAGGGCACAGGCAGCAGGAAGAGTGGAGAGAGAGAGAGAGAGAGAGAGAGAGAGAGAGAGAGAGAGAGAGCAAGTTGAGGAAACTGTCGGTATTTCTGTACATCTCAAGCTAAATATAAGGAAACGGGGCAAGCTGAGCCAGGAGAGGGAAGCAGGGCCAGTCCTCAACCTAATCAAGAAGTTCAGATTTTATCCTCAAGGACTTTAAACACAGAGAAGTTGGTATTGTTATAAGTACTAAATAAATACTATTGTATTGCTAGCAACTTTCCATCCTTTCACTTAACACTGTGTCCTGAGCACTTTCAATGAAATAAAAAATTTCTGTTAAAATTGCATTAAAAAGTAGGAACACCAGAAAAACCTACCAATTTATACTACCATCATGCCATACCCTTAGTCAAGAAAGAGTACTTATATTTGTGCACAATTGAGACTTGAAAACTAGTATGTTACCTCTTGAATTTATAATTCTTTTTCATATTTCTAATTATTTTTTTGTTTTGTGTATTTGCAGGCAACTCAAACAGAAAAACCAAACTCCCAAATTCAAATGTCGCATCAAATTCAACAAATGAAACATCCTATGAAGCTGATGATATAATTCAAGAAAAAACAATGGACACAGCACAAATCAACATTGGTTATTAACTAAAATTTTCATGTTGTGCAAGTTCACTGGAGAGACAGAACAGTACAAATAGTGAATTTCAAATATAGCGTATAGCTACTTTTCAAAAATTTGCCATTCACAAAGCAAGACAGCCACATTTTTGATCCTTCAACTAATTTATTAAATACCCACTAAGGTTTATGGTAAATTTTCATGTGCATAAGTTTACTTTTATTTGCTAAATAATGTATTTTCCGCTACATGAAATTATGGTAATATTTCAGGAGACATTAAGGAGTTTATAACACACAAGCAAACTTATCTCAGTGAGGAACAAGGAGAGGTTTATGTCATATTACCAGCATTTCACAATTTTTTGATAGAGGCAGTTATTTATATAAGACATGGTACTGGTAGGTAAATTTTGGGGACTGGAGGTGGTATGTTGTTAAGTCTTAGAAACCAGCCATGCCTTTTTAAAAGAGGATTTGCTAGGTACATAAACAATACATTGCCTTTATAGAAGCTAACATTAAATAACAAAATATATCACAATGTATAATCTAATAATTATTTTTTGCCTACAGTGGGACAATTGTAACAAAGTTCTTTCACTGATAGTTCCTAAGAAATTTTTAGTACGAAAGTCACAAAACAGACATGTTTTCTGGTCCTACCTAAGGCTATGGTGTTAATAAAACATTAACTAGTAAAGTGTGATTTCTAATATAAGAACACAAGCCTGATTCTTATAATGGAGTACAGTGGGAAAAATGTGTTCCTTTTAAGCTGAATATATTTATTGTGTAAAATTTCTATAATTGGAAGACTAGCATTTTGAAATGTGTTGAAATACAGCTTTTCTTGTCTGTGAAAAAAAAAAGGGGGGATGCGCTATTGCTCTTAGGCATGCAAAGCTGAGGTTTAGAAACTTTTTATCATTAGATTGTCAAAATCTCTACCAAGAACTTAGTACATTTTCTTGACCAGCACTGTACTCTAGAAGTTTCTGTGATGATAGAAATGTTCCTGCTCTATCTGCACTGTCTGGTATGGTAGCTGCTAGCCACACATAGCTACTGGGAACTTGAAATGTGGCTAATGTAACTGAAAAAATATTTTTATTTTAATTAACTTAAATTTACACGGTGTTATGTAGCTATATTGACAAGTTTTGTTCCAGATATCATTGCAATGTCCTACTGCTTGTAATGGATTTCACATTAAAAAAAAAAAAAAAGCATGGTCAGTTTTGCCCATGTTTAAATATTAAAATTGCTTAAAGTATGTGTAAAGTTTTAAAGTTAAAATATATCTGTTATAAAAATGATATTTTGTATGGTCACAGAAGCAAAGAATTATTTTTGTGAAAACACAAAGCATATGTGAGAGCTTCTTGATCTTTTATCCAACTCTGATTTTAGAAAAGTTCTAGAAAATAGGCTACCTCAATACACAGATATTAATAATTATTCACTAGATGTTGCCTCAGTTGAAAATCTAGATTAAGCAAGTTTAGTTATAAGGCACTAGTACCATTCTACTTTGTTTCTCAAGGCTAAAGGCAGATTCCACATATAACACAAGAAGTAGAACATTTAGAGACTCAGGGTCAGAAGATGGTTCCCCCAGATTTCTAAGCTATGGGTCAGGCACATGGGGCTGGGCATGGCTGGATGTATCTTGGGGTGTGTCCTAGGGGGTCATCCAAATTCTCTGCAACTCTTCAATATATTCTTAGGAGAGTTGGGAGTAGACAAATGAGGTCAGAAGACTTTGGACTTTGCAAGAAGGATTATTATCACTCTGGAATAAGAAACTTACTGTTTGGGGGTACCAGCCACACAGGAAAACGGAAGTACTATTATCAGCTGGAGTCCTTGAAGCTCTTCCTGCTGAGTTAGGTTATCTAAGGGAGAGCCACAGGGTTTAACCACTGGACAAACTTTAAAGGTTTAACCACTGTAACTTTAAAGCAGCTGTGCTTCATAGATTGAGACTACCTACTATAATAAGCAAGAACTCCTATCAAATCACAGTACAGTCTGTGCATTACAAACAAGATTTCAAATATTCGGACCTTACAAATTTTAAATGTACCAACAGAATTTAACAGTCAGAAATAATCTAAAATTAAATAAAAAAAAACACATTTCAAAGGGTGTACATAATTTGTACATGTAATTCTGGGGATGTGTCTGCAAAAATACAGTAGCTTTAAATCACTGTAATTTTTGGTATAGTAATCAGATCTTAGGAAACTGGGACTAGAAGAATAGTAATAATGGAAAATAAACAATTCCAATTATTTTCCACATGGCCTTTTAATGGAAACAACTTCATCTTTAAAAAAATGTGGAACTGAATTTTGAAATGGGTGAAACCCCAACAAAAGGCATGTCTTTCCTTAAACTCTCTGATGATGGTTCATTGCTGACAGACTGGAGTCCAAGCTCCCTAACATGAAGCACAGACCTTTGTCTTATTCTCTGAGGATCTAGAATGATAGTATAAACTCTTACCATCTCTTGCCTCCCATATTGCTTGGACTCCCTGAAACAGCTCCACCCTCTGAGCTTTTTCCATTGTGGCTTTAAACAAGTTCATAGTACCCACTCTATCAAAACCATCTAAACCCCCACCTTCTCATTGTCAATTCAAATGCAATTTAGGCATTACTTTCTCCAGGTAGCCTCTTCTCACTTCTGCAGACTAGGTTAGGTGACCCTCTGTATTTTACAAATCCATTTTCAGGTTAACTACTGTATTTATCAAATGATATGTTCTGGTGTTTCTCCTACCAACTAAACTGTGAACTCCTACAGAGAAACAAATGTGTTCTGTTAATCTCTGTATCCTCAATACTTTGCACAGTAGTTGCCATACTAGGCATTCAATATTTGTTAATGAAATGACTCATGGCATTTAATCAACACTATAAATAACTTCTCAAGCCAGTTTAATCAAAGGTGACCTAGGGTTTTATAATTTAATATAGAGTGAGTAGAAAATATAGACTTATAGTTATTTATTGATTGATGTTTTGGTCTTAGGGAACTAAAGATACAAATAGCTATATTTTACTGAGAGTCTAGTCAACAGATGACATAAGATATACTAATGAGGAGTAGGTCCATCAGCCCAAAAGCAGTAATGTCAAATTACTCAAATAATGTGGTTACAGATTTAAATCTAAATCTAAATCCCATCTCCATCTAGTGAAAATGATATATTTTCAGTGGTAAGGATGTGAACCAAATATCAATTATCTCTATAAATAAGATTAAGTTACATTAATGAATTCAGCCTTTATCAACACAGAATTCTACATACTCATCTGTAATAATTTATAATGTAATATAACCATACATATTAAGGACTCAAGGGATCTCAGAGAAAATTTGATACAATATTTTATAAATGAAAGATACAACGGCCCAGAGAAGATAAATCACTTTGTTGAAGGTCACGCAGGTAGCTAGAAAGGTTAAATCTTTTTCACAGTTGCCATGTCATGGAACCAACCTAAGTGCCCTTCAACAAATGAATGGATAAAGAAATTGTGGAATAGTCAATGGAATACTATACATCTCTGAAAAAAGGATGAAATTGTGACTTTGGGGATAAAACGGATGGACTTTGAGGTGATTATATTAAGTAAAATAAGTCAGAAAGTGAATGTCTTAATCATCCTTGGAATATAAATAACCAGAAAAAGCATACATAGGAAAAGTATAGCATGACTAATTCTTGAGCTTAGTGAAAGAATTTAATGGTTAACAGAAGGAAGAGGGGCAACAGAGGAAAGGACGGAGGAGGGAGGCCAAGAGGCGTGGGTGATAAAGAATGGGTTGGACTTTTGAATTTTTACTATTTAATTCAGTACCCTCTGCTATAACTGCCTGAGAGGAAATTTCATTAATTTTCTCCTAAAATAGATTAGTGAGATTTGCATGCGATCCTAATTATAATATTAAGATCACTTTAGAAGAAAATTACTTCAGTAAAAACAAGTGAGTTTTATTCAGATTCGCTACATCATAACTATTCTCACACTATTATTTAAGAATAATTTCCAAGATTGTTTCTGGGGAGGAAAAAAACTAATGACCATTAACATATTTTGATTTGCATACAATATATTAGATAATGATGGCTGAATTTTATGTAATTCTTCCAAAGCATTATTTATTGCATAACTATTCCAAAAATAAACCTAATATACCCATTTATAATCTCTACAATTAACAGAAGTAAAACAACTGGATTAATTGTTTCATGACAATTATCATTTTGAACCATGTTACACATTTAATAGGAAGAAGCTATCCTTTTGTATGTAGTATTTTCCAAATTTTTGAACTTTTAAAAAAACTTATCGTTTATCTTGATAACCAGAAAACTGCATTTTCATAAAAAACAAAATATAGCAAAGGGAAAACAAACCCTTAAAAACCTAATAGTTCTGTTTCTCTCCAAACAACTAACAATTTAAACAAGATCATTTAAATTAAAGAAAAGACAGAAGTATAAGAGTTTCCATGGTCTTAATCCTAGATAAGGAAGTGAGTCAATTCCCTAGAAACTGAACATGGTAAGCAAATGTTATAAGGAGGTATGAGGACCCCCTGTTATTTAATGAGGGCATACCAGGTAGTGGTGCTGGATAAAGGAAGAATCAGTACACTTTTCTAGCTTGTGAAGTTATGTGTACTTACCTGATTTCACCATACTGAACGTACCTACAGCTATGTCTGTAGGTTATCATTTTGAAAATTTATAATTGCACCACAGTGAGGTACTTGCAATCTTTGGTGCTGTGTCATGATAACTGGTTGACTTTTAATACTGCTACAGTAATAAATATTTAACTTATTGGGAGTAAGGTATACCCAAATACTAAGTATAGTAAGTAACAACGATCACTGTGAAATTAAAATGTAAGAAACATTTATACCCAATACGAATATGTGTTTGAAAATGCTTACCCATATAAAATTTCCATTGTTATACAAAGGCTTTCATGATGCAACTCCCTGGCTCTGAAATTTTTAAAAGTACAGAATAAAATTCTTAATCCTAAATTTATGTCACTGCTCCTGAGGTTTATGACTTAAGTAAAAGAAAGAAACACCCTAAATTGGTCACTTGTGAAACCACAAATTCAGTGTGAAACCAGCTTTAAAACTACAAATTATTTCAGGCAAATAAATATATATGCTCACATTTATAAAAAATTTCCACATTACTCATAGAAACAAGTTTCATAAAATTTACATACTGAATACAATAAAAATCAGTTCTAATGAAGATTTAGCTTTCATCCTTCTAAATAAAAAGTACTGTGTTTGAGGTATCACTTTAAGACATGCCAATATGGCACATTTGTAAAACAACCCAGGAGCCTATTATAAAAATCCTGCCCACACATACTTACTAATAGGCTAAGTTACACTTATCTTTTTAAACAAGGAAGAAATATTTTCATTACAAAAACAAATGAGGCAGGTACTAGAACTGTGCACTTCATAAAACAGTGAAGCTTTGCTATATTTTCATTTGCATCTTCCTGCCAACACTGTTCATTTAAAAGTCCTAGTTAAGACCAATAAAGCAGCTTAATCTCCTATGACATCCAAAAAAGCTTAGAGATTTAAAAACAATAGTGAGGAATTTCACTATTTTAATATATTATCATAGGCTATAAAGCTATTACATTTTTCAGTGTCAAGAGCAAAGCATTATTCCCTACCTGGCTTTATCACTGGAAGGTGGATACTTGATTTTGCTGTACTCATTAACTGCTAGGTAGATTACCTATGTGGACTGTAGTAAAGTCATTTACAATCAACTTATAAAATAGTAACACTAGCCAGACACATAGATATTAACTCAAAAAATAATGTGTTTTGCATGTACACATATCCATACTTTGGGCAGGGCTAGTAAGTTATAAGACTGATTCAATGCTTATAATCATAGCACTTTAAAAATATATTTCATGAGGATAATGGTTCCATATATGGAAAAGACTGTGATTTATTGCAAAGCATAATTATATAGCAAATTCCAAGGAAGGTCAAATAATTTTCAAAACCAAATTTCATATTTAATGGCATGGGCCAAAGTCCCAGTTACTTTTTGGAGATTTCAGAATTATCGGGGGAGGAAGAATGCTTTTCTCTTTTTCTCTTCTTTTTATCCTTTTTGTGATGTTTCCCCTTTTTTGACCTTTTTTTTTCTTTTTTCTTTTCTTTCTTCTGATATTTTTGTTTCTTTTGTTTTGAAGTGTCCTCTTCAGTGGAACTGGATGAATAAGACCTATAAGCAATAATATATGCTAATAATTATACTTATGATTGACAGGTAAAGTTAAAATGGATTTGAATGACCTTACTCCTACTTGGAGCAAGGTGGGAGTATTAACAAAGAAACTTGAATAAAATGTGCTTTATATATTTGTGTTCTCTTAAAAAATGCTAAGTTCAGAATTTTTGCTATATGATCATAGAAGGTGACAAAAAAATATTTCCATTCTGCTCAACTTCAATAATGACTTTTCAAATCAGTAAGGTGAAATCTTTTTTGATGTTCAGTTTTTCATTCTCTTCATAATCTTATAAGGCAAAAACACTTGTATTCACCAAGCCTCACTATAAACACAATTAACTTGTATATATAAGAAACTTAGTACAGGGCCTCCCCAGTGGCGCAGCAGTTGAGCGCTGGGTTGCGAAGCTGCCCGCAGCCCCGGCCACCGGGCGAGGGTCCCACATGGTGTGCAGACCTCTCCTGCCACCTGCTGCTTCCCCTCAGCAGCGTACTTCGTCATTCTGTCTGCTCTGTTCTCCCCTCTGACTCTGGTGAATTCTCTCACCCTCCCGTGCTTCTGACTGTACCCAGTGCTTGTGTAAATAAATAAATAAATAAAATCTTAAAAAAAAAAAAAAAAAAGAAACTTACTACAAATTCTTTAGAAGAGCCACAAAAGGAAGCAATTTCAGAAAAAGGAATATAATTGTACTTTTGCTATAAATGGATAAAAGCTGAAAATTAACAAAATAAAAGCACTTTTGTTAATTCCTTTCCTTTCTAAAATTAAAGAATCTGATTCTTCTGGATGTGGTGATACTGACAAATGCTTGCATTCCAAAGTAATTTTCACTAGTTACAGAATAGATGTTTTTATTAAATATATATTCTAAATGAATGAGGATGATTTATCATTTTACTTTATTTTTCTAACATTATTGTAATACTAAATTGGGAAATAAGTGTAGCATTCCTTCCTCAGACATTAAAAATAAAGAAAAGAAAAGATTATTAAGATCTTATACAAAGGTGTGTGACATTCTACATATACGCAACTTTCATATGTATGACAAGGCAGAAATGGAGTGCATTTAAGCATCTCAAGAGACAGTTCAGTGATCTAAGTATTAGAAGTATATACCCAAACTAAGAAAAGTGGCTGACATACAGGCAAAAAGAAAGGAAATTCAAGAGCTACACTGCTTTTGCCTGTGTGAATTCCTCCACTGCATTCCTCATTTAGGGACTGTGTGTTTTCCTGCTTCTGTAATGTTATATTCCTTCCTTTTTCTTGTCCACTTAAGACTACCGGCATTTGCTGAATTATTTTCTCACGTATTCTATTGCCCCCTCTTAAAATTTGTTTTTCTCAACTCTTATCTGTTTTCCTTCATTCTCATATTCTTCTCTGCCTGCTCTTTTTGTTCATTTTGTTTTTACTTTTTGGTTCGGGATTTTCATTTTTTTTTTAAAGATTTATTTATGCATTGAAGAACTGGGGCATAGGCCAGAGATGAGGGGGGTGAGAGGATTCACCAGAGACAGAGTAGGGAGCAGAACAGGCAGATTTACTGAAATACAGTGTTGAGGGGAGCAGTGGGCAAGACAGGAGAGGTCTGCTGCGCCACATGTGGGTTAGCTCCCTGGCTAGGGATCGAACTCAGACTGCAGTGGTGCTACCACTGATACTTAACCCCTACACCACCAGGGAGGCCTTTGGGATTTTCATTTTTAAGGCAGAATGTTAGACTTTTGGCAGAGCAACTCCATTAGGTGACATTATTTCTACTAACTGTGCCTATAAAATTTCATGCTCTGTATGAGGTCTGTGAGGCCCAAGGTAGAGAGGCTGGAATAAATAATTTGGAAGAAAATACATAATTTTATTTTCCCTGTAAGCAATTCACCTTGTTGTCCTAGTGAAAATAATTCAACAAAATACTAGTCTCAACACACATGATCATAGGTGGCTGACGAGAATTCTGAAAGACCTAAAGGAATTTTTGCATAACAAGTGAGTAAATAAATTCTGTACATAAATTACTTTCTTAGCCATGGCAGTGATACACTGAGAATACAAATTTAAATCTCCCAATTCATATATTTGAGAACAAAATATATTTATGTGAAAAATTTAGACCTATGTAAAATTAGAGCTGAAACTTAAAATTCTAGAATACAAATAGAATACATAAAAGAAGGTGGAGGACTATTATTTATTTATATCTTGAATTACCCCACACAGAAAATTTAAGGTGGCTTAGTGTATAATTTTGACTCCTGAAACTTGTTTTACTGAAACAACTAAATGTCTAACTCCCATTAAGAAAACACTAATATTAAATAAACTGAACATGAACAATCAAATATTATAATCCATTCTGGATTCACACTCCTGCGTTTTAAAAAAATGATTTTAAAAATACCTTTTTCTTTTTTTTTTCAACTTGATTTTCTCTTTAATTTTTGCTTTTTTCTTTTCTTCTTCTTCATTTACTCCTGTGTGTTGAGGGGAAAGCATTAGGTCACTATGAGTCCTTTTACTAATATATATGCACACTTGTTTTTATTTTGGTTAGTGGTTGGTAAATTTCATTGGTTAAGATGTTGTACTTTTCTTGCAACAATTTCCTCTTATGATTTTTATTCCTTAAAACCTTATAAAAATACTACATACCACTAAGCACATTAAGTTAAAAATTCAAGTATTCTACTTCTAATTCTTAGCAAATCAATGTAAGTGGTTTTATGGTTACCATTCTAGGCCTTAAGAAACAAAGCAATACAATCATGCGCAGCTGTTAAAAGATCTTTGTCAAACAAAATTAGGATCATGGGACAATAACATCAGATTTAATACTTATGTCACTGTGTTCTGAAAAGGATATATGCTATTCTCTAACTTGTTTTTTAAATACCAACTTGATTTTCTCTATATATAGTCTAGGTGTTCTTTATATATTACCAAATAATATATACATTCACTTGTACAATATAGTTAGACTTAAGTCCCAAGTGTTTTCATTCTTTGAAAAATGGACTGTGGTATATTTAATATTTTACAACTTATTTCTTTCATTTAATACTTTTTTGGATATTTAATCATTTTTAACACTATTTGTTGAAAAGACTACCCTTTCAACATAGAACTGCATTTTCACCTTTGTCACAAATCAGCTGGACTTTTGCTTCTGGGAAGATGGAAAAGATGTAATTCTCCTATTACTTTTATTAAGTATCAGTAAAATCCCCAAATATTCTAAAAACAAACATATGATTCTGAAAAATGGAAAAAGACTACCCAGAGATCTCACAATCCAGAGAATGACACAGTAGTGAGTTCCCAGAATTTATTTTAGCTTCATATATTTCAGATTCGCGGTTGAAGAAACTGACAAACTGGTAGTGTCAATAGATGCAGAGAAATATGCACCAACAAAAGCCGCTCTCTCTAGCCAAAGGATCAGGATTCAGCCTAGTAACGGGAAACTTTTAAGATAATAAATGTCCTGTTGAAGCTAAACATCCAGGAAAAACTAAGGCAACATTCCCACTAGTAGCAGCAAGGACTGAGTGGGGAACACAGGCTTCCCTGCTTGTGAGGTTGTAATGAGGCACTCCACTGTCTACCTGAGCCAAAACTAAGTAGGGAAAGAATATGAATAGCAGGATATACCTGGTTTGTCTAAGATTGTTTATGGTAATAATCCTGGAATTTATGTAGACAACATGACTCCCTGGAAAATATAACTATTGAGACATAAAATTGAGATGTTTCCTTTCAAAACTGAAATGACTTTCTTTGAAAGTGTTTCTACAATAATAAAATGTAGAAATCTCTTATGATCATTTGATTACTTGAAGTTATTAGTAAAATTTGATTTGGCTAAGATTTGATTTGAATGAGGGTGATTTGACAATCATATCCTTTGTGTTAGCACACAAAGAAATTGAGCTCAGAGTGGTTATTAAGTAACTTTCTGAAAATTACATGCTAAAAATGCCAAATAGGGCCAGTGACCATGTCTAAAGTCAGAATTTTTGTACCATGTAACACATGCTAGGGCAATAAAATAAAATCAAACCAAACCTGGGTTGTGAAAGCAGAAATAGACTTGCCCCAAGGTTCTATTTATGATCAGCGGTTTGATTTTGGATATAATACAGTGCTCACAGCCTATTTCCTTACCTATGCAGCACTTATTGTATACAATACAAAGGCTACCTTAATGCTATCCTATAATAGAACAATAGACAAATATAACACAGTGTCTTTAGAAACTTGCTAAAGGATAGAGGGAAAATGTTTTGCTCACTTTTTTCTTGTAATGCCTGCAGTTTATTCAGTTCTTCATTCTCTTCATCACTCTCTTCACTGCTTGTGCTGCTGACATCCAAAACTATGTCCCTTTTGGGGTCCACTCGGAGAAAATTACGGCATTCAAAAGTCAGGTGACCAGCTAAGTAAGCAAACAAAAAATGTGAGTGGCAAAATTATACACACATTATACATTTTTTTGTTTTATTAATACATGGTAAGCAAAGAGTTTCAAGCTTAATAATAAAATGTTTAGCTTTAACTTATATTCTGTGGATGGTAGTTTGCTTTCTCTAAATGCAACATTCAGAGAAAGAATTTTTTCCTTTCTTCATGAAAACTTCTAAGTTAATAACCATTTTTTGGCTATGTCTTATGAATTTCAGTATATAGTATATTTTTCTTATGTATATATAAAAAACATCTCCTCATACTTAGGATTTTATACTTTATTCCTTTCCCACACCTTTTCCTTTGCAGTGTGACTATGATACTCACAAAATGGAATCACTCTCATCTAATTAAAGATGACACATTAATATACTTCATGTGGAGAGATAGGATCAACATGGCAGCAGAGAAATGCTATGAGTAAGTCCTCCCATAAAAACAGTTAATAGGGAGGAAAAGCGGCAGGTCCCTCTGAGAACCGGGAAATGGAAGATAAACGGGCAACTCCGGCAAACTGCCCTAAGAGGAAAGTAGCCATAAAAGAGCACAGAAAAGAGAGGGAAACTCAGAACCCTGTTACCCTCCCCCACTACAAAGCCGACACTCTCCGACCAACAGAAAGGAGAAAAGAAAAGGAAAAAACAAAATAAAAAAACAAGAACAAACTAGAGATCAGGTGGGACAGTAAATGGAAAGGAACTATTGCAGACACCACACCCTGTGAACAGGAATTGTGGAGAACTGAGCAGGAACTCCACGGAGGTGAGTGAATGGCTGCAGGCCCATTAGAGGAAGATAAGGACTTCACAGAGACACCAGCAAATAGCCCAGGGCCAGCCGGTAAGCCTGTGAGGAAAAGTGTGCATCAGCGCACTTGAACAGCACACGCGGATGGCGACTGCCCAGGTCCCCTAACCCATGAACTAGGTTTGTGGGGAGGCACACGGGAACCATCAATAAAGTGAATGACCCTCACGGAGTAATCAAAAACCAGGTGCCTGGGCATGGGAGCGGGGTGAAAAAGGTGCCATTTCCTTTTTTTTTAAATAAATTTTATTTTTATATTCCCCATACAATTGCAACCCCCTGATTTTGACCCCAATCCCTCCCCTCCCTGCCCCCCAGCCCCCATAGAGTGTCTCTGGTTCATAGTTCTTTGTTGATTTTGATTTTCACTTTCTTATAGTTATTCTTTTTCCTGGCCTCTTATTTAAGTTTTCTAGATTCCTGCTATGAGTGAGGCCATCCGGTATTTTTCTTTTTCTTTCTGGCTTTTTTCTCTGAGCATGATCCCTTCCAGCGCCATCCATGTTGCTGCAAATTGCATGTGTTTATCTTTTTTGAATGCTGAGTAATATTCCATGGTGTATATGTACCACATCTTCTTGATCCAGTCATCTATTTTTGGGCATTTGGGTTGTTTCCAAAGCTTAGCTATTGTAAACAGTGCTGCTATAAACATAGGGGTGCAGGTGCTCTTTGGAATTGATGTTTCTGTGTCCTTTGGGTAAATACCCAGGAGTGCAATTGCTGGACATATGGAAGCTCTATGTTTAGTAGGTCAAGAAATCTCCACACAGCTCTGTGAAAGTGGTTGGACCAGTTTGCACTCCCACCAACAGTGCAGGAGAGTTCCTTTTTCTCCACATCCTAGCCAACATTTGTTGTTGCTAGTTTTTTTAATATGTGCCATTCTCATTGGTGTAAGATGGTATCTCATGGTAGTTTTGATTTGCATTTCCCTGATACAAGTGATGTTGAACATTTTTTCATATGCCTGTTGGCCATTTGCATTTCCTCTTCAGAGAAGTTTCTTTTTAGCTCTTCTGCCCATTTTTTGACTGGATTATTTTCTTTGTTGTTGTTGAGTCTCATCAGCTCTTTGCAGATTTTTGTGATCAGTCCTTTATCATTAGTGTTGGGTGCAAAAATGTTCTCCCAGTCAGTCGAGTTTCTCTTTGTTTTTGTTATTGTTTCTTTTGCTGTGCAGAAGCTCTTTAATTTGATATAGTCCCAGCTGTTTATCTTTGCCTTCACTATCACTGCTTTGGGTGATGTGTCTGTAAAGATGTCTTTGATGTGCATATCACGTAGTGTTTCACCTATATTTCCTTCTATGTATTTTATGGTTTCAGGTCTTATGTCTAGTTCTTTAATCCATTTTGAGTTGATTTTTGTGTATGGTGTGAGGTAGTGGTCAAGCTTCATTCTTTTGCATGTAGCGACCCAGTTTTCCCAGCACCATTTATTGAACAAACTTTCTTGGCTCCAATGCATAGTCTTTGCTCCTTTGTCAAAGATTAGTTGACCATAAATCTGCGGGTTTATTTCTGGATTTTCTATTCGATTCCATTGGTCTGTGTGTCTGTTCTTGTTCCAATATCATGCAGTTTTGATGATTATGGCTTTGTAGTATAGCTTGAAGTCTGGGAGTGTGATGCCTCCATTTCCTTCTTTTTTTTTCAGGAGAGCTTTGGCTATTTGGGGTTTTTGGTGATTCCATATGAATTTCATCAATAATTGTTCTATTTCTTTGAAGAATGACATTGAAATTTTGATTGGAATAGCATTGAATCTGTGTATTGCTTTTGGTAGGATGGCCATTTTAATAATGTTTATTCTTCCAATCCATGAGCAGGGGATGTCTTTCCATTTCTTTGTGTCTTCCTCTATTTCTTTTAACAGTGTTTTACAGTTTTCTTTGTATAGGTCCTTTACCTCTTTTGTTAGATTTATTCCCAAGTATTTGATTTTTTTTTGTTTCGATAATAAAAGGGATGGTTTTTTTTATTTCTTCTTCTTCAGATTTATTTTTTGTGTATAGGAAGGCTACTGACTTTTGCTTGTTGATTTTGTATCCTGCCACTTTACTGAACTGATTGATGAGTTGAATTATTTTTTCTGTGGAGTTTTTGGGGTTCTCTATGTATATTATCATATCATCTGCAAATAGTGATAGTTTGACTTCTTCTTTTCCTATTTGGATTCCTTGTATGACTTTCTCTTGTCTTATTTCTGCAGACACTGAACTGGGCTACCGCCTTCGTCCCAGATCTGAAAGCTTTGGAACTGAGAACCAGGGCATGAAATTCAGGGTGTGGATTCCCCACGACAGGAGGGCACAGGGCAGACACAGCACCTCCACGCTGTTGAGTCACTCCACACCACCCCCACTCAGTTCCCCAGAGACTCACAGGGAAAAAGCACAGCTCTGGAAGGATACTAGGGGAAAAAATCTCTGGCGCCACCTAGTGATCAGAACAAAATCACCAACTTCCTGATGGAAGCCAGGGATCCCAAAACCACCCTCATGCTCTGAGAGATGGTGGGCCACACAAACCAGGGTAAGAAGGGAAACAAGGTGTGGAGCACGATCCCATTCTGGAATGGAGAGCTAGGCACAGGATTCGGGGTGTGGGACGTGCCATAACAGTGGGCAATGCACAGGGTGACAGCCAGCGTTTTGGATCTGATAGACCTGGAATTGAGACCTAGAGCGTTGAATTCGGGGTGCGGGATCCACATAGCTGCGGGCACAGCACCAGGTGAATGCAGGGCAGGCACAGCACCCAGCTTGAACAACAGCCCTTTGTTGAGGTGCTCCCCTCCCCCACTCCATTTCTCAGAAAACCACTGGAAAAAAACACAGGTCAGCAAGTGCAGGTCTCTGGCGCCAACTAGTGACCAAAACAAAATCAGCAATTAGCCGATTCCCTGCTGGAACTGAGTATATTCAGAGGGAGGGAACTGTTTAAGGGACAGTGCCAGCAACACAGCATCAACACCCTGGTGGAGTTTGGCATACAGTACTGGACTCGGTCTGGTAAACAGTTTTCGACACCACTGAAGGAGCACCCCAAAGAGATGCCTGCCAACACCAGTGGCACAACATCCCAAAGCACAAAACTAATTAGAAAGCAAACAGCAGGGAGAAGGAAAAATATAAATAACCAAGCAAGCCTGAAGGAGGAGAACACACCACAAAAAGAAAAATAGTCACCAGAGCTTAACAATGACATCGAAGAACTTCTTGGCCTGTCAAATAGAGAATTAATGATCATCATAATTGAAAAGCAGAAAGAAATGAAAAGGAAAAAAATGATTTGAGACAAATAATCACTGAACTTGAGAATGAAATTGAGACCTCAAGAAAGGAAAAAAAAGAAATGCAGAAGATTAAAAGATTACTAGAGGAGATAAAGAACTCTGGAAAAAGCAATGAAAATAGAATCGATGAAATGGAAGAATGAATCAGTACTCTCGAAGATACAGAAATAAAAAGAGCCAAAAGAGAAAAGGTGAGGGAAGTGCAAATGAAGAAGTATGAAGACATTCTTCAACAATTATCAGATTCCATGAAGAAGGGAGATGTAAGAATTATAAGGATTCCAGAAGGTGAGGAGACAAAGGAACTGAGAAATTATTCAAGGAGGTAAGTGAAGTAAAATTCCCAAGCATGAAAAAAAGAGACGAATATAGACATAAAAGAAGCAAAAAGAACACCCAATTACCACAAAAAAAGAAAACTACAGCAAGACACATAATAAGGGAAAATCAATCAGGTTAACTTCAGACTTCTCCGAAGAAACACTACGGGCAAGAAGAGACTGGAGTAACATATTCAGCAAACTTCAACACAGCAAATGCCAACCAAGAATACATTAACCTGCAAAGCTTTCCTTCCTCTATTAAAAAAAAAAAAAAATGAACCTTCTCAGACAAACAGAAAACTCCAGAAATTCATTACAACTAAACCCCCACTCCAAAAAATTCTACAAGAAGTCTTATAGCCAAAACCAACACAGGAATGAACAAGAACAGAATAAAGCAACGAATAAAATCACAAAGAAGACAAACAACATGGCAAATACAGATGCCAACATATCAGTATTAACTCTAAATGTAAATGGATTAAACTCATCAATAAAAAGACACAGAGTAGCAGGCTGGATTAAAAAACAAAATTCAACC